TCTTATTTATATCTCAACATATTAAAGATTTCAGTGGGTAGCTTTTAAAATGATTTTGGTATCTCGCTTGATGATATAGAAATGTGGTTATGATTTGATCATGAACTAAAGTTGCTGAATTTGTCATGCATAAAATAGTCTTCGCTGAAAAAATTCTAATTAGTGCTGCATATTACAAGGTAAATGCACATGCGAGGAATTTATTAATTCGTGAACTAGTTATATTTGTGTTTATAGTATAATTTTTCCAATCTCATTCAAAAGTTGGGGACTTATTGGAAGTAATATCAAAAACAGTAATTCAATTTTCGCATAACCATTCGTGCAATTTAAATATGTACGAAATTAAATCAATCGCACGGCTATGTGATTTGTGTTCAATAAAAATAATGGCGGCTACATGCTACTGTTCTGTTTATCTGTATACTGTGTAAACTGTTTGTTTGTTTGTTTGTTTGTGAATTATTGGCACAATTGAATGACACAATTGAAGTGATATGAACCTGTGTGAAACGATATAAAAACGCTTATATGATGACAGGTTCAATAGCGATCGCATAAAGTCACTGTGTATGTCTACTCACTAGCTAGACAGCAAAGTGGCAAGGACATTGTCACGTCTTTTTGTTGAGTACGTAATACACTTGTGAAATTCGGCTATTTTTTTCTCTTCTAGTAAATTTGATAATATGTGAAGATTGATATGGAATTACAGTATAACATAAAGTATACAACATATTTCAATTTGCCCGTTATAGCCATTAGTTCTGATGAAAAAGAAAGCAAATAAAGAAGACTGTATTTATATTTAACAATAAAATCGACAAAAAATTAAGACGTATATTGTGAATAATAAATGAATAGGTTTCAATATTGAAATCAGATCGTTGTTTGCTCTATATGCCGTGACAATCGAATTTTTTAATATTCCACGACAAATGGCGGTGCCATGGTGCCGACACGGTTGCTCCATCAAGTAGGCACATAAGCAGTGTTCCAGATCCGAATGTGTAATCGCCCGGCCAAGTGACAATATTAAAAAAATGTTAACGTAATTTTTAGATTTTTTTTTTTTTAGAAAACACTGTGGTTTTTTTGAAGTTATGACAGTCACATTCAGCATGCACATATTCGGTCGTTTTTTTATCTAAAATAATTATGTTAAAAGCATCTGCATTGCAACTATAGTTGGCTAAGATGACGCCTTGTGTTAGCCAGAGTAAATTTGTTCCTTTTATTTTTACTATTATGTTTATTATGATAGGTTCAATGTAACAGTAGATTCATTTACATGGAACAAAAAGAAATTGAAGTATCTTTTATCAAGTGATCGCTCAATTACATAACATCTTAAGGAAATTGTGAACATTTCAGCAGTATCACACGAATATAATTATCGTTCCTGGTAAGCAAGTCTGTGTTTCAAACATAAAGTGAACACGTTACCATTGCTCTGTTTTCATAGAAAATTACGAAATAGCTGGAATCAAATATTCATTGCTGACGCAAATTGTTTTGGAGTCATAAGCTTTACGCCGTTATGTCACTTGCGGATCCAAGTATAGTAAAAGGTTGATTTACATAATCACCTCTCTGTATAATTGCTGCTCAAAACAAACAACAGGAAGTGAGATGTTCAAATACTTATTTAGCCGCTTTGACGTCGGGCGAAGAGGGGCCAAAACGAGGGAAAGTTTATCAAAGTCCCGTTTAGCTCGATATCCAACAAAAATAATTTTAGCTAGAGGAAAAAACACACGGGAGGTACAGAAACTGATGCAAGTATACCGTATGAAGGATAACTTATTTATTATATATACATCAGCAAAACTTTGCCACAAATGCCACACAGCAAAGCAAAGTGCGTTATCTGTGGGAAAAAATTGCATATACGCAGCGAAAGCGAAAGTAAATTTTCAACTTTAGCCCGACAGAAACAAAAAGCAGAAGGCAAGTGACGAATCGCCAGCATCCGTAATTAACTGTTTTGAAGGTAGAGTTGACTTTTCAGATTCTCTCAAAAGCTCAGAAGTCAAAAGCACGCGAATTTATAATCAAAATGACTGCACATGAATAATCAATTCTATAATTGACCTCTGCACAATTTGATATTTCCCCATTTTTGAAAGCATCTTAGCATCTGATTAACAGTGATCCCGATAAGTTTGGCCATGTAAAGCAATGCTGAAACCTCAAATTCTATTCTATTCTATTCTATTCTATTCTATTCTGTTTCTAAATAAGGCAGTATATGTCATATACTGTGATTTTATTGTTTCTAAATAAGGCAGTGTATGGCGTGTATTGTGATTTTATTGTTTCTAGGTTAGTCATTATTTGCAAATACACTATTTACTTTTTTTTTACATTGACTACTTTACATTCTAAGCTTATTTAACGGCTTAATTGGGTCTTCGTACATATGAAAAACGTGATGCTGACGGATATCAAGGTCCCATCATATCCAATGAATGTTGCAAGTTTCAACAAAATATATTTATAGAATACAGAGATCCAGGACGAGCAGAAATGTTTGATTTTGTTGAATTTTAAGCTCAAAAATTGTCATTATTCGGCCATTTACATTACATCGCAAAACGAATAGCTTTGCACATGTCTCACACTAAGTGTTATGTAGGAAGTTAGAATGTGATCCGCTCAGGCAAGTTCAATCAATATTTCAGATGGGGAAGCTTCGTCGAACGCACGTACGTACGTACGAAGTTTATTCGATAAGTTCCCGTTTTTAGACTGCATTCCAACGGGAACAAATTAGTGTATTCAAACAACTTTAATGGATTAGAGAAGCGCGGAAATCGATCAATCATGTATCATCAAAATAATTTGGTCGACTAAGATGTTTTATGTATTGCAGGTGGTATATCATGATCATTAAATTAAGGTTTCATTTCCCCAAGCAAATACATCCCCTCAATTATGTGCACCAGCTGTGGACAATCAATTGCCCGATCAACAGACCACGGAAACGTCAGTCAGGAAATGTCAGTTAGGAAAGCGTAATCGGAAAATTGGCCAGCAAACACGATATACATACACGACTCGTCCGTTTACGTTTACGCAACTCTGTGTCAGATCTGTTAACTAATTCATTCTTATTCTACAAATACATATAAAAACTATTTTTTTAGAATCTTCCCAATCACGCTGTGATTTATAATTGCTCATAAATAAATGTTAAAGGGGTCGTTATCGATAATTGCGTATTACCAACTTCCTGATTGATATTTGTGAAACATGTGTATAATAGCTATGTAGTTGTGATATGATCGTCATAATTTCTCCCCAGGTGTTCTACATGTATAAAGGTTGTTTGTTATCAATGGAGAAATGATAATTGTGTTTCAACAATGGCAAATTTCCCTTTATGTCACCCACCATTGTGTCCTTCAGTTTAAACTTGGAGAGAAACCTAAATTTAATTAATAGTTTGTCAATAATTTTCATGAGTTTTTTGTGACGCTGATATTTGTATTAATGATGAACCGGGGTGGTAAACATTTATGTTCAAGTTTAATATTGCGTTGTATATGCCTAGTTTCATTGATTGTTTGTTTGTTTCATATATATAATATCAAATAATCCATCAATCAACCAATCAACCGACCAACCAGCCAGCCAATCTATCAAACGATCGGATAATTCTGTGATTGATCACATTATAGAATTCAAATCATAAAGATGATATTTCATAATGGGATAGGAATATTATCATCCCCGTACTATTAAATGCATGCCAATTTCAAAAAGATTTATTTTATACTTTGGGAAAAATTATTTCAAAATTACGAAGATGCTAATGCTGCCCGCCACAGTCTGAAAAAGACTGTACATTTCTTGCCGACAAAACATCAAAAGATTAATCCGTGAATTGAAATATATGTATAGCCGTAAACACATATATGCACACAAACGAACATTTGCTCTACCAAAACACCAGGCAATATAATTATTAGCCCCGCGCCCCTGACAACACGCATACAAGACTGATTGAGAGGTATATGTTACTTCCTTGTTATTTTTTTTATAAATGTTCGTACCATGGAATCCAATCACCTCTTATCTATATGTGGGCTATTATAAATGTCAGTATGGAGCAAACTAACTTAAAAATATATATATATATATATATATATATATATATATATATATATATATATATATATATATAATATAAACACACAATGTGTTGCCCGGGGAAAGGATGTTATATTAAGCCATATTTAGTAGTGTATAGGGTAGCAGATTTCTGACAAAATAGAAACATAAAGCATTCAACGTCAGAGATTAAGTAATCAGTCTCCGTAGCACAACAAAACGCATAAAACCACGGAGCGTACCAGTGCAGTATATATAACATTACATAACGATGTGTGTGTTTTCAACATCGCATATTATTTGTGTTGAATTCGTTGTTACATAACTTAAAGGTCAATATATCTGAAAGCAACGTATTGTTCGTCGTTTAGAATTGTCAGTGGGATGCCATATTTGCAATCAGTTAATTATATGTTCATCAAATAAAATCATTGACCACTCCCAAATATCAATATTGACAGACGTGCTTGATTATGTGTATATGAGGCGTATTTTTTAATATTTTTTTTAAATATTATATTAATTTACTTTTCTTACTCTCCAATCATTTATTTGCTAATAACTGTTGTAATTAGTCTTATTTTCTATTTGCAGCTTTCAACAGATTGTACTGACAGTACGAATAGAAGTGATTGATGGGCCCATGAGCACTAGTTTATGTATATTTTAAAGAGGAACGAGCCCACGCTCCATCGGTATAGAGCATTTCGCTATCTGAATATTTGAATTAGTATACATGTTAGACGTGTCTGTGTGTATTCACATGAAGCTAAGCAGCTTGCGTGTGGATATATCATCTAATTAGTGCATGACGTAGACAATCGGAAACTACGGGCGGTATTCAGTGTCGTGTCTATCGCACTAGTCGCTATTAAACAGTCATTATGGAAACAGCAGATCTGACTGTAGTGCAGCATAATATCACCGACTACTTGTGGTTCGGCAATATCACCCAAAACAATCCAGGACTGCGTCATCAAGTACTGCCTATGATGGGATATTACCAGCCGTTATGGCTGCAAATTATACTGGCTATATTATATGCCTGCACCTCTATACTTTCAGTTGTCGGCAATCTTGTCGTATGTTACATAGTACTTGGAAATCGACGTATGCGTACGGTGACCAACTATTTCATCGTCAACCTGGCAATCAGTGACATTCTCATGGCTGTATTGTGCGTTAATCTCACGTTTTACTACAGTATCAATTTTCACTGGCCGTTTGGATTTGTTATGTGTGCATTGGTTCAGTTCGTACAAATGGTATCCGTCTCGATCAGTATATTTACATTGGTTGCTATTAGCCTAGACCGCTACGTCGCGATTATACATCCTCTCCGACCAAGAATGACAAAGAAACAGGCTTGCGTCGTCATTATCACAATCTGGGTCCTGGCAGCTAGTATTAGCCTTCCTGCTGGTATCAACAGTGAAATAGACATCCCAGCAAATTCGTCTCTCATCGGCTGCACGGAAAAGTGGCAGACGGATAAGCAGCGATCAGTTTATACAATCACCCTGATGATCTTACAGTATTTTTTGCCACTGGTGATACTTTCTATCACGTATTCCATCATTGGATATGCTATTTGGGGTCGAAAACCACCGGGAGAGAGGGAGAGACACCGAGATGCCAGACAAGCGGAATCCAAGAAAAAGGTTCGTACATTTTACTTAACCACCACACACTAGGATTATATTAGACTTAACTGGACAGGGCAGTTTGCCACCTTTTTAGATGACGTATACACTGACACATGTGACTGACGGGAGTGTATACCAATAACAGTATGTCAAATGAGTTTATATAAGCAAATAAATATGGTCCGCGAACTTTTGCCACCAAGGTACCAATAATATAAAATAACAAGACCGGGGATAATAAATAATAAATGACATTTTGTAATTTTTTTTTGTTTCGCATCTTGGTTCAGACATATACATTATTTGACAAAATAAGGACATTGCGACCTGGCTTTATATTGCAAAAAAAAATGACTCAGAAGATCAAGGGTTAAAAGGACGGGACGTTTTTTCTTAGATGTTGTACTTACTTGACGTAAGAATGTGACTGACGTTGTTGACACAATGGGATGTGTATATTGTATATATCGAGGGGCTCTCACGGGTAAGAAATGTGTGCTTGCTGTTAATGTTACTCCCCGCCTTCGTTGAGTATCTGCCATTCGCAAAGACTCTTTTTGTGTAATATAAATATGTCTCACAAATACTTCGAATGCATGCTATAAATTCAATATCCAAACGTATTTGGAATATGGAAGACAAGTGTCAATGTAGATATTATGATAACCACAGAATTCTTCTCTGACATCCGGAGAGTCCACTTTTCTGGAAACATTGTGATTGAACAATGAAAATATTAGCATTAACACAAAACAATTGTCGATGTGCATAGATTATTATTCAATTAACTTGTAATATTTTCTATATTTTACTCGCGAATGCAGAACACGCATTTTTCTCACCTGATAATCTGCTATTAGTTTTATTAGTTTCATGAATACAGTTAAATGTTATCTGCGTACATGTAGAAATCAATGCGTTGTCGCTGATGATATCTCATAACATATACACTGCAAAACGAAATAGATCAAGAATATATCTCTGTGGGAAAACGTATATCGAATGTGAATCCGATGAAATTTGAACTATTCATGAATATAAACTAAACCCAAAGCCGTATTTCCCTGATCCTACTCAAATGATATGTTTACAATTGAAAATATGTCTCGTATTTGTCATATATTACGCTGATAAACTGCCAGTAATATGTATTTGCGCTAGATTGGATAGAACCGTATGAATCAAATTCGAGCGTACCTGCCATATGTGAATACGTAATTAAAATATATTTCCATATACTGAACAAAACAATTTGAATGAAATAGTACACCACATACATTTGTATATATGTTTATAACATGCAATGCACTTAATATATATTTGGCATGAATCCATTTCAGGTTTTCTAAACAAATTGGGGTTACTAGTTTGCAGGTTTGTTTGCAAAAAGTTCAAAATGAACTAACTCGAGATTTCCGTTCACTGCGAGATCTCGCATAATGCATGAAAGGCAGGGGTCGAAAGTCTTCCATGCATGAATGATTTGATTTTAAACTTTCGAGTTTCATACTTCAGCAACATTGACTATTATTAAATGTGTATAGCTCATTATTAATCGATGACTCCCCCCCACAAAAATACGTTCACGTTTGCAGAATCCTACGCGATGTTTTGACGTCAATGCTACGCTATGACGTTTTTTGTCCAGATTTTACGTTCGATTTTACGTATAAGGCGCGATCTCTATACGACTATCTGTACCACTAAACATTAACTTTGTCATTTAAGTTTTACTACTTTAAAGTCTAGTATGAAAAATGCTATTCCTATGGTCCACGCTGCGAAATTAATAAATCGAAAAATGTAAAATGACTTTCAAATGTTCACATTTCACTGTTGATTTTCATAAAATAGCTTTGCTATATGTTAGTACTTAGATGCCACTGAACAGTATTAGACATTGTCTTTTAATTCTGTTCATATTATTGCGACGTCATGAATTCGGGATATCTTGGTGAATTGATTTACAACTATAAAAAAGTAGAAATATAAAATCAATTGCAATTGAGGTAAATTGTGTTCGCTGACACCTAGTTCAATCGTTGGTTGATACGATATAAACCAGCCTCAGTTGAGTGGCGGCCATTGTTGTAAAAACAGCATCTACTGAAACATTAACCTGAAGACAGAAATAACATCACATCTCGTCACCTGTAATGCTTCCCACTCACTTAAATCCATGTGTTATAATTGTTACGTAGCATGTTGTAAACGATACTTGAAACGCAATGAACCTACGCCTTTGATACGGTAATCCCATAAAATGCTACTACAATGGCCGCACTCGAAACGCAATTTCATTGGAACGAAGCAGCGATGTTGAATATTAACATAAATTTAGATATTCTGAGATTATATTAAATCTGCTTTCGCTAATCACATGCATAATAACTATGTAGACTTTAATCATCATTATCGATGTAAATTCAAATTTCATCATTCTCCTGCCGTCACAATTCTTTGATATTTTATGTTTAATGTTCCCTTTTATGTATAAAATTGAAAACATTGAAATGTTAATATCCGAACAAACGCGTTATACATTAATTAATATAATATTGATATCAAGCGTTGATATCCTCATCTATTTGTTATTTTTAAAATCGTAAACTCAAAACAAAATGTACAGTTTCGAAACCGTATTATTCAATCGGATTTCTTGTCATTGCAAACTCCGATCTTACCTGCCTTAGATAATCAGCCAGTGCATACCACGATCAAATGCGGAAGTTCAATTTATTCGTGATTGAAGTCGATAAATAGATTCATTCATTGTACACCTAACTTTGGTAATCGAGTTATATTACTTCAATAATGTAGGAATACCTTGACATACAATACGTCATCATTATCGTTTAATACAAAAGTGAAGTTAAATGACACTGCCTTGAAATTAGCTTATTTGTTGTATTTATTCAGTAATTACATGCGTCACATTCCGCTTTCTTTATAGCCGACAATATCGCTTAAATCCAATAAGATAGTGAAAATAATAGAATAATAAGCTGATAATGGGGTGTATATTTACATTGATTGCCTTTGATAACGGGGATTGAGACTGTTATGATGAAATTGTTTTTACACAAAAGTTTTAATTCCTTGCCCGCAAATGAATGCATGATTATATCCTCGTTAAGTTGCTGTTCCAGTAAATGCATTATAAACTCAAGTAGGAAAATTGAATACTGAAAATCATTAACACACAGACTTGTGCTAAATCAGAATGATATTTTTGGTCAATTAGTGAAGTCAATTATTTAAGAACAGTGTCATAAATTGATCAGTAATTAGCTTTGAATATTGTATCCAGTAGTCACAATTTAAATATGTTAGATATGACTAAAATGTCGGGCACGCTTGTCGTGTAGAAACGTTCCTTCCTCAGTTAGTACTCTACTATCTGCCTGTTGACATATAGAGGACAGCTTTGCTGGAAACACAAAAGCATAATATGTACTATCGCATCTCACTGTTGTTACGCATACTGTGATTGGTTGAGCATCAATCACCTGACATTGAATAATTACATAATAACACATGTTTGTGAGGGTAATATCACGATTTGTTGCCTGCCCAAGGGATGGTGGTCATGACCATAATATAGATGATGCCAGAGCAAGAAATGTGTACAGCGAAGACGCCACTGAAACGGCACACCCGGGATCGCTGCGGCGCGTCCTATGCTGTGGGCATTTCCAAGCGTGCTACGCCGATGGTCATCGAGAACGCTCTAAGCTGATTGGCTTGTGAATAAAAGGTGTGGTACGTTCATGAGAAAGTAATTGAAGTCACTTCTAAACCACTCTGACATTTGTATCTGGGGAATGGTGAAATACCATGCGTTTGAGAATTTCTCAATTCATTTCAATAATTTTATACTCGATAAATTGAGTAGTTCACACTGCTGAAACACTGTTACTAAAAAAAAAGATTAACCGTGGCTGGAAGTAACTTTATTTTACTGTTTACTTAGCAGATTTTTCAGCAAGCAATGTATGCTTTTGACTAATGTGTCACTTGTTTTATTAGAGAAAATAAAATAATGCATACTTCAAATAGTGTTGTTTTTATGTGAGAGTGTGGGGGTTAGTGATGTATGGTAGATGTAATGATATATGTCTGTTCCATGTGATAAAATAAATAACAGATGGTCATTCGAGCAATATCACGATTTGTTGTCTGTCCACGGGATGTTGGTGATGTCCATAATGTTCATGACCACCACACCTTAGGCGGGCAAAAATCATGATATTTCACTCGCAATTATATTATTATTTAAATAGCACATTTTATTGTTATTTATTAGTATTTATTACGCAGGTGTCAAAGTTTTATCACAAAACAATTATACTACGATATTTTGCCCAATTCACAAGTAGACACGAGCACCGAATGTGCAAAACCGTTCTATTTGAACCGCGGTAGATATAAATGGCCATGGAACTAGCATACATCGATATTAGATACATCGAGCGGTGGAGAAAATTCGTATTTCGGCGTTGCTAAGTTTATTTGCATAGTTTCCTGTTAGCGGGGAAACGTCAATATATGTAAAATCATCTCAATCAACATAATTAAAAAAAAAAACAGACGACAATAATTTCGCGCGCCCAATTACGTTTTGAGAGCCGACGAAACTCCTGGGCTAATCAAAAAAAAAAAAAAAAAATAATAGGAATGAATTGAAGCCCAATGAAATTTAAACGAATTTAAGAATTATGTCAACGAATCTGAACTCGCAGCCTATCGACAAAATGTGTCGCTTAATATACACAAAACAAGATTGTAGGAGCACTTTCTTTGACGCACCAAAGAAAGTTTTGAATATAATTACGTACTAATGATTTTGACAAATTTCCTAATTTTTTTACAGTGGCTTTATCTGTTGCTGCGATATGACATGAATATATCCCAAGCGACTGAACGTCACTTCCTAATTCAACCACAATAGTTATTCAATCTTATACAAATGGGGACAAAAGATCTGATTTAATTTTGCTGTACAAAGGTGTTGACAACTGAATCAACCAATTGAATGTACTAGTAGTTGAAATGTATCATTTAAGTATATAATCACGAACACATATTTAAATAGGCTATACAGGCCACATGACTACTTAAATGTACAAGTCTTAGTGATAAAAATAAGTTTTATATTTCCAAAGATTGACACAATTTATCAACTATATACTCGCGGAGATTCAATAAACCCTCCTCGCCAGTCTCACAAAAGAAAGCAAATGAAATAGTCACCAAAATAAGTATTTGGATATTTAATTATGTAAATTACATATATGTAACACTGTAAACTATACCAATTTGTATGTAATTTATTATTTCTTTATATGTAATATGCGCGCATGTCATTGCGTGTGCGCAGATAAAGTAGCAACGAGAGAGCCGATCTACGTCCTAAGAAACAAATACAATTTACACCAAACTTCACGTGTTTATGTAGTAATTAAAAGGTTTGCTACCTTGAGCGCTTAGTAATATACCAAATCGTAGGATTTTTTATACGACAACGAAACGACAGTTTTAATTTTTAAAATTGCAACATTTTTATTTGAGTTTCATTAAAATTCCATCATGATGAATTATGTTGACATAAGTGGAATAAATCATATATTATTTTTAAAATTATTGCATTAAATCTTTATTGTCAACATCACACGAGTCACATTGAGACATTGTATTTAGTATATTTGTATACACTGTCATAGTATCTGATAAATATCTAAAGTAGATGGTTATCAAAAAAACAAAGAATAGTTTTGAAATTGAAAAAGCAATAGTGTGGTGGGATGTCAACACATGGTGAAACAAGTTCTCTTAACCTGACACGACAATCAATATTCTAAATGTTTCAATATTTATTTTTTTACAAAAAAAAAAGATAAATAGTAGCCGAAGATAACAATGTGAACCATCTTATCATTCACTATGGCCAGACCACATCAATTTAACAATATACAGTAAGATGACTTTATTACTCGCCCTGAGACTAACATATAAGAGTTATATCTCACAATCGCTATGAAACACAAACCAATAATTTATATTGACTTTACGTTATGTATATATAATCGTTGTTTTCATTGCTTTGTTGAATAACATTACAGTATTATTTTCTCCACAGCTTGTCAAGATGTTCGCCCTGATAGTGTTGATATTTGCTTTGTGTTATTTACCTATTCACACTTTCAACTTACTGTTGGACTATGAACCTGATGTTGGATTTTTCCGCTACATAAAATTGGTATACTTCGCCGTACATTGGACAGCAATGAGTAATTGTATCTACAACCCATTTGTGTATTGCTGGATGAATGCCAAGTTCAGAGACGGATTCAAATACGTGTTCAGATTCTTGCCATGTGTTCACTACATTCCCAAGGATAAGTTTCCCGTCAAGAGGGTAAACACTTGTACAACTCACGTAGGAAGTTTCAAGATGAACTTATTGAGAGAAAACGCATTATCACCATACGTCAACGGTAGAGCCAGGGGCATGCGCTACTAAGAAAAGAATTTGAGAAGTCTAATAATTACTAATGGTCGAATTAAACAAAAACAAAAGAAAATCGACAAAGAATTGAAATCGACAACACAAATATGTACGTATTTATACGTTGAGTAAACAGTCAATCTGTACAACTATAACAATCAACGACAGCCTTATTATTCACTACACTTAAACTTTTTATATTAGTAAGTAATGATTATCGGTGACAAGTATACTGTGATGAGTTGACTAACATAATCTACAATGAAAAAACATATGCATTGCACCTTGGCGGCTGATCTGCACTGGCTCGGAAGATGAATTCTGATTGGCTAAAAAAACAAAAAAAACTTGGAGGAGCTCAAGCCGACTATATATAATTCTGTGTACATAACCCATCGTGTATTATTTCTTACGCACATCAATTCATTAAACATAATTATTTAAGATACTAGTAAATGACAATTTCATGGAGAAAACATGGGAGTTTGACATCTAAGTGTCAGTTGATTATATGTGCATCCGTGAATAACGTTTTAAGGTGATGTGTTGTTGATTTGAAAGAAATGAATATAATAGTGTTTTAAATTCAGTGACTATGTTTACTAGCTTATTGGATATTATACGCAAAACATATGTACAGTATATATCATGAGTGGCCCCATATTTGAGTAATACAATATAGACATATCAGTTTTAGGTATTTTAAAGCTATGAATATTCTCACGGAATCGTAGAGATCTGATAACATGCGACAATATTATTATGGTGAGTTAGACTAGGGTTACCTATGATCGTCTGGGAGTACTCTGTTCTTTTCCGTTAGTAGTCCCAACTAGAGTGTCTGTTACATGATCTATTATAATACATGTTCTGATTCCTAAGCATAACACCCATACAATATTTGACAACAATATCACAGAATGCATCACTATTTGAGATAGACAGGGCCCCCTCAATGTCAACATACTCATACTAGAGCCATCACCGTTCGACTTCTTAGATGAGGGCCAGGTACCATTGTTGCATTCATCGAGAAGTCTTCATATGCCAGAGGACTTGGATGCAGGAATGCGAGTTCATTGCTTGTAGTGAAACATTGCTATTGGGACACATGACTCGGTTTCCTGCTGCTGTGCAGGTGAATGTTCTGTACACACGAACACACTATTGAACAAAGTTAAATGTAGTTGAGACTTTGGCAAAAAGCCGTGGTTACTACATATATCAAGAACTGGCAAACTATTTGATTTAGACTTGTTGGATTAGTCCACAGAGCCGTCGCAGGATTCTTTGATCAACATCCAGTGCTTTCTAGAAGTTGTAGGGCTGCACACATATCAACTACTTTTGTAATAACTATAATCAAGTCGGGAGGGGCAAGATCGGAGTTAAGTAACGACGTTGCAGTCAAAGCAAAACACCAAGCCCGGTAAAACCGTGGTTCTCATGCCTGCAATACTTTTGAGCAAATAACAACAAAAAAAGAGTTGTTAAAAACTGTATCTTGGTGAATGTGCTTGCCGCGAATAAAAATATCCAGAAGCGTAGTTATATGAATGCCGTTTTGATCAAGGCAACTTACCATCTTTCCGAAATGGCGATGTAAACAATTAATTAATCTCTTCGAACCGATACTACTGCCATTCAATAACGTAGGTGTTTCTCAGCAGAAAACTTTCATACAGGCACTTTATTTGTCATTACTTAATTGTCACTACCCTCATCTGCCGGTTGAATCCCGCTACTGGGCCATAACAACGTGCAGTTGATACTAGATTAGCATAGCTTTTTTGGATGAAGGGACAAATCTCATCCTTAGTATTTCCGATTTAGGGAGTTGATTTCCATTATGTAAAACAAAACAATACTTACTTACATGTGTACATTTTAGACTCACACTTGTAAGGGAAATCCACGTGACTAACACTTTATCAGAACTTTGTACCGCCTCCAATAAGATCTATTTTATGTTTCCAGTGCTTAGCCCAGCAATAATTTAAAAGCTGATGTTTATTTTTTTTCAGCATCCTTTATTCTATGTTTTTGTCATATTACCTCAAACCCTACAAATAGAAGTTTGCATGGAATCATGGGAAGAAATGGTGTGCATTGTCGTGTGATAACTGTCATAAAGGTGATTGACAGGTCATACTTGTTTTCAACTCTGGGGTCTACCAGGTGTGCTTATGATTGACATAACAAAGGGTGTTTACAACTTTGGAAGGACGATTGGAATCTACAAGGTGTGCTGCGATTTGAATAACAAAAAATGTTTATGATCTACTGAATTGCCTACGTGACACAGCTGCTGGAAAGATCACATTTTGATTGCCTCATGTGGAAACCCAGGTGGTGTCCCTCAATCTGGGCCATTTATGCCTATAAATTGGACAGACTAAGGACGGTTGGGGTCCATCATTTCTACTGTGTATCCTGTGTGTAGCTACTGCGATTTTGTGATACAAGTGATACAGCAGGCTAAAACCATCATTCTGTGAGACTTGTATGAGATTCTCTGCGATCTCCTGCTTTCAGCGGTGTTCTCCAGAATACCAGCGTTCCTCTGCAAGCAAGACTCCTGGATTTCTTCATTGTGATGTTGCAGAAGCCATTGACTGTCATCCGTTTCTACATCCTGGAACTGTGAGATATCACCAATGGACACTCCCTAAGCAATCTCCTATTTTAGTGAATTTGTTCATTGCATTATTTTGTGCTTTGTTTCTTGTAATTATTTTGAGAGGTATTAAAGCCAGCAGCTTTAATTTAATATTCTGGTGTATGTGTATTTCATTTCCAGTACTATTGTGTTGTCTACCCCAGTGAAAGACCCCCTGTTCAGTGTAAGATCTGTGGGTGGCCCTCACAATCGCAATAAGCAGGCCATACACTGTGACAATTATCTTCTCATGTAAAAGGATACCATTTCTATGTTTATGGTAGAGATGGCATACTACTAAGAAGCTTATTATACTTGCATAACATGTTCAGGGCAGTTTTGAATTAACATCTTTTCATATTAATTATTAAATTTGTATCCATATTTATTTGGCTTTTTACTGATATTCTAAGTACTAATCGCATTTCAAGAAAATTGGTACATGATGCTCAATGACATTGTGTAGACCCAATTAGTTTTATGTTTTACTCTGTGCATATTAATTACCTAATGTGCATAACAATTAGTCAGTTTCCAGCTTTTTCGTATAAATATAGCAAGTACTAATTATCTTATTTCAATGAATCGGTACAATGTACATTCCTGATTAGTCCAGGGTAGATATCAATATATAATAATTACCTAATTTGCCTATACAAATTATTCATTTTTTATTTATATCTCAGGAAACCAGTTATGAAATTTTAATCCAAGATTTATTTTAATTTGTGTATCTCAAATAAGCAGACAAATATTAGTTGTCAAGCTTCTTATTTAAAAGGCCTATATTAATTGTTCAATTTAATATGTCTCCTTCAATACACGGGAGTTTTCTCTAAGCTTTTATTATTAGCGTTTACCGTGTTCCGTTGCCACATAACAATAACAACTACACACACGTGCAAGTAGATTGTATCATGCAATGATTTTATCGACGCGTTTTCGCGACCGCGCACAGAACTTTGTATGTACACTGACTGGATTGCAGTAAACATTGCCATACATCTAGCTTTCAATTACTGGAGCTTGATGTTGTCATAACAACACTTTTTTATAATTGGCAAGTTCATTGTACTACCGTAGACCGGAACGTGGCAGAGTGGTTGTTATTTGGATCAGACAGTTCCAGGACTGACATACCGTAATTGCTTAGGATTGTGCCTAATTCGCTTGATGTTTCAGTCTTCGGTAATAATTCATGGGAAATCACACTGCGTTGACACTCACGGTGACCTTATAGTACAAACAATTGTTTTGCGTTTAACATGTTTTGTACACAAAGCTCAGCATGATATCAGTTGCATTTTAACGGTCATTTCCCCCGCATGCTATCGGCTGATCAAGTGCTGGCGTCTGTCGGAATATCAAGAATAGATACACGTGTCGACAGATAAGTGAAGTATCTTTTGATCATGCGTAGTAGATTCAAATGACAGACAACGTATGCATACCTTTCACAATTATTCGTGATTAATGTTCTCTGAATATCACACGGATAATAATTATAGAGTTCGTGTTCACGTAATATCAAACATTTCCCATCCCTTCTACGCGAACACACCCAATGGCGCGTAGTGTAATATCGCCTATTCCATTGGTCAAACACTATATATCATGGTATCTCATACCCTGTTAGCCAATCAGATTCGCGCATTTAGCATTGCATATATTTGCCTATTGACTTCTCAGCGGACAAAGACGTAATATTCGGGTTCTGCGCTTGCGCAGACGGTACGATCGACCGAAGAAATGCAGATTCACTGTGAGGTTTGTCGGCGTTTTCTCGGAGAATCATCTGTAATTTACGAACAGGTCAAACAACTATAACAATTTCTGCTTGGGACGAGTTATGTGCCATGTAAACAGTGTAAACAGGAGATAATTATCGAACAACGCTACATCGGTAGGTCGGACAGACCGGAGACGCTGCACTGTGTACGTTGCTAGCGTTGATAACTTGAATTTCGTACGGTTTTTCTGGATTTGTTCACAGGGGCTTGTCAACTGACGGCGAATCCTCCAGTCCACAATCACGCAAATATTAACTACTTTTTGGGTCGGAACGATTTTGAAGGTTTACGTCAGCGGCCATCCCAATCATTGACTTTGCGCTGATTGTCGGAAATAGTGGGCGTGTTCTAATATCCCCTTAGCAA